ACTCAGTTATCAGTATAGTTACTTAATACGACTGCATTGTCAGTTGGCTGCAATACTCGCTGTTTTGGCGACAAATAATCGTCGGCGTTGAGGTTTTTTTTTATTGTACTTGATGCTCTCTCGCTTTACCTTAAGAACAAATTCACGGTGTTATCGATTTCCGCGATTTTAGACCACGAGGTTTTATAAACAGCAGTTTTATTTTCACTGATGAACACATACCAATTGTTACGTCTGTGCAATGCGCATATGGTTAAGTCAAGGATCCGTGGAGTCTCGAAGAAAGGGAGGTGAAAAACCGATTCTTCATGTCGGGTTCATCACCAGCCGCTGGCGAACACATGCACGACCGTGATCGCGCAGGATCGCATGACGGGGTGGCCTGTTCGTAATCTGTAAGACTTGTTGTCGTTGCTTCTTTGCGTATGGTTTAGGTTCAGAATTTCAGTTTTATCGACCTTCTGAACAGTCGATATCGAACTGCACATCCGAATGACAGTTACACACATACCGTCTGAAAAATAGATTTTCCCCCGTTAGAAAAGAAGAAAGGATAGTGTTCTACAAGTTGGAAATCCATTGGTGGCTTGGTCATTTTTTTTCTTGGTCGTATGTAGTATTTTCTGCTTATCAGGAGCACCCAACGACTGTTTCGTCCTAAATGCATGCTATTTAGGCTATCCAGAGTGCTTTTAGATCTTTAGAAATACATTTTAACCGACACTTATTTATATCTGTTCGATCATCCTAGGACAACTTGAGTCTTTTCGAAATTATCAGGGCTTCAGCATTATTTTCCCGAAAATTTTAGGTGAAATTTCTCTGATTCCTCTTTCCATCGCATTTTCGATTCCGAAAATTTTAGGATATTTTATACAAAACTGTCGTTGTGTGCCCCTGACTTATGAACAGGCTTACAGTCTTAACAGCATTTTGGTTTTTTTCTATACATACTATGAGAGACGATCGAAAACCAAGTTGAAGTCTTTGTTTGAGAGGTTGAAACTATGAGACGAAAAGGATGAGTTTCTAGCTTTAATGCACGCAGAAACACGCCGTGCGACAGTGACAAAAACTGTGAAGGCTCGTCGAAGTGAAAATACGACAAAAAATTGATATATAAATATTGTAGCGGCTTAGAAACTGGGTTATGTAAACTGTTTCCCTAGTCAACAACTTCAGGTATTATGCATGTATTAGATTTTGTTTTCTGCCTTTTTGGAAATGTTAAAAATTTGGCTGAGCTGACATTAACACATAAGAGATACCATTGTTTTCTAAGTATTGCTTAACTCTTTCGCTGCCAAATGTAGCCGAAGGCAAATTTCGACCAGATTTTCAAATTTCATTTTATAAAATTTTGAAAAACAAATAGTACCGCGTGAAAGTACTGCTGAAGAGCTTTCATTTGAATAGTCACATCAGAGGATTTTGTCCGCAGACTCAAAAGTTAGAGTCACCTTACAAAACTCCATCATGCAAGCACTCTGGCAGTGAAAGGGTTAACTAACTAACATTTTGAGACAAGTGACCATTATCTTTTTCTGCCCGTCTTGAAGTCTTCCGTCACGGTTCTACAGAATTCTGTCGCACGAATTTTGACAAGTAAAGGAAAACACGATCACGTTTCTCCTGCTCTACATGAGCTCAGGTGGCTCTCTTTCAAAGATCATCTAAATCTAAGGGACGTTACTCTTGTGTTTAAGATAGTCAATGGACTAGTTCCACCTTATCTAAGTTGTAAACTCACCGAAGAGATCTGAGTCGCATTCCTACAACACCAGAAATGGGGAACACTTGAATATCCCCCTGTGTAGAACTTCTACAGCACAGCCCTCCTTTCTCTGCCGAGCAGTAAAACTGTTGAACAGGCTTGGAATTCACAGCAAGCACAGCTTTAAATCATTTAAGAAAGCCGCAAGGCAAGAAATTTCACGATTGTAAATAGCTGTCGGTGTCTGATATTATCATTATTATTATTATTATCATTATCATTATCATTTTTTAATTTTTTAGTTATATCTAGTCTGATATAGTTTATTAGTAGATTATTAAGTATTTTTCTTGTAATTTATATTCTTTTTTCTTGTAATTTAAAGTCTTATCATAATTGTAAATTAACCAAGAATAACGTCTTAGGGAAAGTTCATTTAATATGACAAGGGGGGGGGATGAAGATATTGAGGGGGGGGCTCCGAAAATTTTTAGACACCCGAAGGGGGGGCTCTGAAAAAATTGTTGCGCTAGGAGGGGGGCTCCGAAAATTTGTATACTTCAAAACCAGCACATGACATCATCATACAGATCGGATGGTTTTCAACTCAACAATTTAATGACCTGTGCAACTCAGCTATATCACGTGGTTTACAGATATAACAAATGTAGTCTCAGTAATTATTACACTCTTGTTCATCCCAAAA